TAACATTATTGTCTGGAATAGTGCCCGTGAGCCAAGGAATGTTGGCAGAAATCTAAAAATGGTACAGCTCCTAGAAAAAAAACTTTATGTATAGCATGACCTCTGAAACAGGTCATGATCGAATTTGAGCCTTAAACACAAATAAACCTTTTTGGGGGGGGGCTTTTTGAGACAGAGTCTCCCTGTAGCCTTAGCTGTCCTAGAACTCACTATGTAGACCAGGCTGGCCTCGAACTCACAGAGAACTGCCTGCCTCTGCTTCCCAAGTTCTGGGATTAAAGGTGTGCACTACCACTACTGGTTTAAAATAATTTTTATTGTAATTATTATTGTGTGTGCCTTTGAATGCAGAATGAGTGCATGCCACAGTGTGTGTTTGGAGGTCAGACAATTTTGTAGAGTTGGTTCTCTTTCCATCTATATGTGGATTCTAGAGATTGAACTTGGGTTGTTGTGCTTGTATGGCAAGTGCTTTTACCTGCTGAGCCATCTCACCTGCACCCCTGCCACTTTGGTTTTTTCATTCAGGGTCTCACTCTACCAGGCTGGTCTGGGACTCTATGTGGTCCAGGTTGGCCTTCTGGCATTCCTTCTGCTTCAGTTCCCCAGGTATTGGGCTTATAGGCGTGAGCCACCAGGACATATATTTCTAGCTACCCACCAACCACATCTCCATCTGGCTGTTCCACTGACACCTCATTTAAGCATGTCTCTGAATCTATTTCTTCCTTAAAAATGGCCATTGTCTAGCATTAACATCATAATAAATGGCACCCCCATCTGCTCAGTCTACAAACTGAACATTCAAACCTATTTCTACCTCCTTCTCCACAACCCATTGGTTGTCAAGTGCTGTGGGCTCTACCTCATCTTCCTCTCCTATCTTCTGGCAATCCATCCTCTTCGGAGCTCTCACACTGATATTTCTTTCACTTCCTTTTCTCCAAACCTTATGCTATTTTTCACTGTCAACATAAATTTTCATTAGTTTTGTATTTATATTCTTCTGGTTATGAGACAGATTGAGTTAACAGAACACTGCTATGGCAGAACACAGTGAAGACTCAAGTATATAATTTCAAAGTGCCTAATACTATAAATGAAAAAGTCATATGAAAGCTGGTCAAAAGACTGGACTTATGGGCCAGGCATGGTGGTGCATGCCTTTAATCCAAGCATTTGGGAGGCAGATGTAGGTAGATCTTTTATGAAATGGAAGCCAGCCTGGTCTTCATATCACAGCAAGTTCCAGGCCAGCTGTGGCTACAGGGAGACCCTGTCTCAAAAAACCAAAACCAACCAAACAAAACAACAAAACAAATCCCAAAACTAAATTTATGTGTATATACGTGTGCTGGATAGCTTTAGTGTCAACTTGACACACCTGGGTTGAGGGAGCATCAATTGGGGAATTGCCTCTATTGGGGGGGCATCTTCTTGATGACTGATGTGGGAGGGCCCAGCCCACTGTGGGTGGTGCCACCCCTGGGCAGGTGGGCCTGTGTTGCATAAGAAAGAAGCCTGAGCAGGGGCCAGGAAGCAAACCAGTAAGCGGTGTTCCTCCATGGCCTACGCTCCAGCTCCTGCCTCCAGGTGCCTGCCATGAGTTCCTACCTTGGGCTCCCTGATGAACTGTGACCTCGGAGATGTAAGATAAATAAACCCTTTCCTCCCCAAGTTGGTATTGGTCCGAGTGTTTTGTCACAGCAATGGAGAAACAAATTAAGACAATACGTCTTTTAAAATAAATATTTGCTTATAGCCAGGTGTGGTGGTGCACACCTTTAATCCCAGCACTTGGGAGGCAGAGGCAGGCAGATCTCTGTGAGGTTTAGGGCAACCCGGGCTCGCTGGGGCTACAGGGAGACGCTGTCTCAAAAAGACCAAAAAATAAATAAAAATAAATAAATAAAAAATATTTGCTTATTATTTAATGTGTATGCGTATTATGCCTGTATGTATATACGTGCACCCCTGTCATGCAATGCCCACGGAGGACAGAAGAGGACATCAGATTCCCTGGAACTGGAGTTATGGAAGGTTATTAGCTGCCGTGTGGCTGCTGGTAACCAAACTTGGGTCCTCTGTAATAGCAGCTAATGCTCTTAACCACTGAGCCATCTTTCCAGCCCCTACAATTCTCTCTTTCTCTCTCTCTCTCTCTCTCTCTCTCTCTCTCTCTCTCTCATATATATACACATGAAAATGTTATACTTTTTAGAAAACAAGTCTTAATTTATATTATGCACTCAGAGATCTTTCTGGTTTCTTCCTTAAGCATCCACCATGGTTCAGGGCTTGCACATTCAGATGCCTTAGTGGCTTGAAAGGAAAAGTAAATGAGTGACTAGCAGGAAGCCAGCTTGAGGTGAGCTGAAGAATACATGCCCTACTTTAGAAATAACCATGTTCAAATAAATTGAAAACACTGCAAGGTAAACAACAAAAAAAACAATAAAAATCATTTCCGTGGGCTGTCAGCTTGTGATCTCTGACAAGGCACAGAAAAAAAAAAAAAAACTCAGCACAGAATTCATAACTCTCCAAATCTATACCCTGCTCCACTCAGTCCTCTCCCAACTCCCCACCTTGCATCCTACATTCCAATGACCAATGACAAGTGACTTAGTTTCCCCAGGGTACCACCTATTGTTTGGTGGCTTTATGCTGCTTTCTCTCCCAAGATTTCTTCCATTCTTCTTAGCATAACTCTAGTCCTTACCTCCAGCAAGATTCTGGAGTTGGACTCTGAACAAAACCGCATCCACCCCAAGATATACAACCGGCTCTGCCCTCGCCTCTATTTATTTACCAATGTCATTCCTGAAACTCTTTTTCTTTGAAAGGCATAAGAGATTAGAAATGAGGATGATTTAGGGGACTCAGAACTGTGTGATGGACCTGATGAGCAGATCCACAGAACCTACACGGTAGATGGAGAGAACCGACTCCCAAAAGTTTTTAAGTTTTCCTCTGACATCCACGCTCATACTGGGGCATGCACGTGTGCATACACATACACAAAATAAATGTAAAAAAACCTTTTTTTAAACTTAAAAAAAGAAAGGAGGGCTGGAGTGATGGCTCAGTGGTTAAGAATACTGACTGTTCTTACAGAAGACCTGGGTTCGAATCCCAACATCCACATAGGAGCTAACAACTGTCTATAACTCCAGTTCCAGGAGATCCGACAGCTTCTTCTGTCCTCCGTGGGCATTGCACAACATGGGTGCACTTACTTACAGGCAGGCATAACACTCATACACATAAAATTAAAATAATAAAAAATTTTTTTAAAAAAAGAGCCAGGTGTGGTGGTGCATGCCTTTAATCCCAGCACTCCGGAGGCAGAGGCAGGTGGATCTCTGTGAGCTCAAGGTCAGCCTGGTCTACATAGTGAGTTCCAGGTCAGCTGAGGCTACAGGGAGACCATTTCAAAAAAAAAAAAAAAATGGTGAATGAATAGCCACCTGGCTAATTGTTTGAATGAATGAATGAACCTTGCTAGCTCCATCAGTATCGCAGCCAAGCTCTTACATAACCTTCTTTATGACCACATTGTTCCTCACTCCTCCACCACATTCCTCGATCTTCTAAGCCCTAAAAGTTGTTTGTACAAAACAGATGTATATTTTAGGCTTACAGGGAAGAGGACTGTCACCCTTTGACCCTCCTGGGGCTCAGAATGATGTCCTTCTTCCAAAGCTTCCTTCTTTTGAGCTACACATTGGTACCCACTATCTGTGCCCCTCTTCTTCCCCAACCATCTTTTTATACCAGATCCCTAGATTCTTCTTTGTCTTTCTCTTGAACCCTCCCCCAGCAAAACACCTTCTAACCACTTACCTCCTCCCCACCTCAGGCAACGAGCCAGATCATTTCCAGTGCCCAGGGGTAACACAGCAACAGGTGGCACAACAGGCAAGTTGGCTTTGTCTGGGGAGGCAGGTGAAGACACGGATTGAGGGAGCTGACTCTGGAAGGCAACTGCCCCCATCTCCTGCCCGGAGCCTCTCCCTGCACTGACCAATGGTCTCTAGAATCCAGCCTACTGTGCCGTCTCCACCACACACCAAAACCCGGCAACCAGGAACATCTTTGAAAAACTTGAGCCTGAGATAAAATGGAGAGAGCAGATGAAGAAGGGTACCAAGACAGAAGCTACCCGACTCCCCCACAGATAGGTTACTTCTTATTTCTCATTCCTATAACTCTGTGCCTTTTTGTCAAAGAATTTCAGAGCAGGGGACAGGAGAGATGGCGCCACTGTTAAGAGTACTTGCTACTCTTGCTGAGGACCCAGGTTTGGTTCCCAGGACTCACATGGCAGCTCACTTACTGTATGTAATTTCAGTTCCAGCGGATTCAACAGCCTCTTAGGTGCCATGGTCACCAGGCATGTACATGGTGCACATATATATACATCCAGGTAAAATACTCATACACATAAAATAAGTAAATCTTAAAAAAAAATCCACAAAACCCAGCAACCACTTCAGTTTAGGCTTGGAGGATAAAAATGCTAGGCATGGTGATGTGTGCTTGAAATCCCAGGTCTGGGAGGTAAGACAAGAGGATACCTGGGGCTTGCTGGCCAGCCAGTCTAGCCTAATCAGTGAGCTCCAGGCCAACAAGAGACCTGTCTCAAAGAAAATGGACAGCATTCCTAAAGATGACACCAAAAGTTGTTCTTTAGCCTACAGAGAGAGAGAGAGAGAGAGAGAGAGAGAGAGAGACACACACACACACACACACACACACACACACATTTTAAAAACAGGTAAAATAACTTGCCAAGCAAGTCTGACAATCTGAGTTCTATCTTCAGAACCTGACTCTCAAAAGTTGTCCTCTGACCTCTATACATGCACTGTGATGCACCCCACCCCATCATACATGCATACATACATAGAGATACACACACAAATAATTTTGTTTTGGTCTTTTTGAGACAGGGTCTCCCTGTAGTCATAGCTGGCCTAGAAGTTGCTCTCACAGAGGTCCACTTGCCCCTGTCTCCTGGGTGCTGGGACTAAAGGTGTGGGTCACTATACCTGACAAATATTTTTTTTTTTTGAGACAGGGTTTCACTATGTAGTCTTGGCTGGTCTGGAACTCAGTATGTAGACCAAGCTAGCCTTAAACTCACAAAGATCCACCTGTCTCTGCCTCCCACATGTGCCACCATACCTGGCATAAAATTAAACAAAAATTTTTAAAAATACATCTTTTATTTATTTATTATTTTATGTGTATGAGTATTATGCCTGCATGTGTGTAAGTGCACCCATATTGTGTAGTGCTCATGGAAGACAGAAGAGCATCAGACCCCCTGGAACTGGAGTTACACACAGTTGTTAGCACCATGTGGGTGCTGGGATTCAAGCCTGGGTCTTCTGCAAGAACAGCCAGTGCTCTTAACTGCTGAGTCATCTCTCCAGTTCCAAAATAAAAAAAATTTTTTCTTCCCACATAACTTTATTTGTTTTAAATAATTTGTTGAGAATTTCATACATGCATATAAGGTGTTTTGATCAAATCAAAATAAAACACTTAAATATTTTATTTATTATTTTTACTTTATGTGTATGAGTGTCATGCCTGCATAGGTAAGTGCACCTGTGTCGTGCAATGCCTGAGGACAGAAGAGTCTGTCGAATCCCCTGGAACTGGAGTTATGGAGAGTTGTTAGCTGCCATGTGGGTGCTGGGATTCAAACCTGGGTCTTCTGCAAGAACAGTCAGTGTTCTTAACCGTTGAGCTATCACTCCAGCCCCCCAAAATAAAAAAAAAAATCTTTTAAAGGGTTGGGAAGGTGGCTCAGTTGGTAAAGTGCCTGCTCTGGAAGCACAAAGACCTGAGTTCATATCCCCAGAACCCACATGAAAAGGCCAAGGGTGACAGCAGACTCCTGTAACCCCATACTAGGAGAAAATGAAAAATAAAAGAAGTGAGCTTCTATTAAGGGTAGAGAAAGGAAAATGAAGAAAGTTCTAACTATTCCTCAATTGTCAGAGAAAATCTCAGATCTTCATCCTTTAAGAACAAGACAAAGAGCCAGATTCCTAGTGACTTTAGGGGGAAAAAAGCATTTGGTATTCTGAACTCTTGGATCTCCTCTTCTGACAGGCACTCTTTCTTGCTCTCTCAATACACACACACACACACACACACACACACACACACACACACACACACACACCCCAAATCCTGTGATACAGCCCTCACCTCTACTCACCCTGGCTCAGGACCATCTTTCAGAAGGTTGAACACCTGTCGAGGGTTTAACATATATTGGAACTTCCAAAGCACCCTGTGTAAAGGAAAAGGAAAGGCACGTGGCAGAAGCAAGAAGACAGTGATGTTCTGGACTCCATCTTGATGGCCTACCTAAGAGGACCCTCCATACACGTTCCCTTCCTCCCTCCAGGCTCTGCTCCTCCATCCCCACTGAGAAAGAACCAGTATATCTCTCCTTACCTCTGGCCTTGCTTCCCTCCACTCTTTGGATTGACAAAGACTAGAAGTGGATGGGTGTTAGAAACAGGATCAATCTGCCATGGAGGGAAAAAAATAAGGATAAAGAAAGCAGGATTTTATGAGGGTTAAGGTGTGCCACAGAAGCTCAGGACTGGCATTCCCCAAGACACTTTCCACCTTTTACCCTCCCCTTTCCTCCTCTACTAAGGTGAAACCTTTAGAGAACAGGTACCACCCCCCCGACCTCCCACCTCAGTCTCTCACAAGAAGACTTCAACCAAAAGCTGGTATGACCCTGAGGCCCAAACCCCTCAGCTTTGTACCCGCAAAGCCTCAAAGGTGTACATGCTTGTATCATCTGGGATCTTCTGGTTTGCCTTGCTCTGTTTACGCTCCTGTCCAGATGCCTGGGAGGGAGCGAAGTGGCGGAAAGAAAAGTAGACTTGCAGGAATCCTTACACTGGTTTGATCTGAATCCTAAAGGCGTTAGCTGTCTGTTCTAGATGGCATTCTAGCTGAGTATGATGACTTATGTATATAATCCCAGCACTTGAGAGACAGAGATAGGCAGATCTCTGAATCTGGTCTCTTCCTTCTTTCCTTCCTTCCTTCCTTCCTTCCTTCCTTCCTTCCTTCCTTCCTTCCCTCCCTCCCTCCCTCCTTCCTCTTTCTTTCTGTATGTGCGCATTGGGGAGTAAATCTAGGACCTTGGGCATGCTAGACAAGTGTTTTACCATTGAGCTACGTCCCAGCTACATCTGTGAGAATAATGGTATCTTGGAATCAATTTCCTGCAATATGGAGGAATAGTTGTGTGTGTGTGTGTGTGTGTGTGTGTGTGTGTGTGTATGCACACGTGTTTTCCAGGCTAGCCAGGGCTATATGGTGAGACCCTGTCTCAAAAACTAACAAACAATAGTAATAAAACCCCAAACCAAACCAAAGGTATTCTGTGTTTAGTGTGCCAATGGAAAGCAAGGATGCACTGTGGTCCTCTCCCAGTCACTGCTGAGGGTCTCACCAGGACACTGGGGTAGATGGAAGATGGAGGCAGGATGTGATCACGGAGCAGTCCACAGTCACACTCAGAACCCAAGGCCTGAAGACAGTCATCATGGATCTGAAGGACATGATGGGAACAAAGGACATGAAGGGGACATTGTCAGTTCTCAGCTTCAAGGTCTGTACTAGAACGAGAGCCCCTGGGGACAAAGAACAACTAGCTGTGGCAGTAAGAGAGGTGGGCTGGGGAGGCCTGTGGAAAGGGCTGCTTAAGCAGGGGCCCTGGGCCACAGCCTGGAGGGATAGCTCTGAACTGACCTCCAGGTGGCACCACACACAATGCAGTCCCGTTAGACTGTGGTGGGTTCGGATCTTTTTCTGACAGCGGTCACAGCGCCCAGATTCACAGCCTCCTCGAACCCACACATGTGACTGGACCTTGGGAAAGAAAGACAGACCTCTGTCTGTGAGAGCTGGAGCAGACACTGGGGTGGGGAGACTTTAGGGCAGAAATAGGCCAGGGATGAGGGTAGAGGGAGCATGGGGATCACTCACACCAATGTCCTTCCGAGACTTGGCATAGGTGCTGACTTCACAAGGCTGAGCCTTCATGGCACAGTGGTCATGAACAATGTACTTACAAACTGGGGAGAGGGAAGAAGGAGGAGCCTTAGCTGTAGCCTTGCCCCCCTCTCTTCTCCTTCCCTGGGAATGAGAAAGGATCACTCCCTGGAACAAGACATGTACTCCTTGCTTTCAGGTTGTGGCAGAGAATTAAAGTTTACTGGGGTTAGCCTCATCTCTAAGTCCTCTACCTTTTCCTTACACACTCTCCTAAAAAGGGCAACTACCACCTCATTATATCTGTCCCCACCGCTATTCCTGTGCCAGGCTGGAGCTGAGCTGGTTGATATACCAGAGGCCCACATGCAACTAAGAATAACTAATTTTTTTTTTTTTGGTCTTTTTGAGACAGGGTCTCCCTGTAGCCCCAGCTGTCCTGGAACTCACTATGTAGACCAGGCTGGCCTTGAACTCACAGAGATCCGCCTGCCTCTGCCTCCCAAGTTCTGGGAATATAGGTGTGCACCACCACGCCCAGCCAACAAAAAAAATTTAAAAAATAAAATAATTGAATTCTTGACAGACTGCAAAATAATAATGCCTCCTACATTTAAAATTTATTTATTTTTGTAAGTATAAGTGTTTTGCCTGCATGTATATAAGTACACCTGTGCCATGCAATACCTACAAAGGATAGAAGACGGCATAGATCTCTTGGAACTGGAGCTATTATGTGGGTGCTGGGAACTGAACTCAGGTCCTCTTCAGGAGCAGCCAGTCCTCTTAACTGCTGAGCCCTCTCTTCAGCCCTTGCCTCCTACATTTTATTTACTTATTTATCTGTGTTTGGGGGGAGGGACAACATGCACCGTAGTCTGCATATGGAACTCAAAGGACAACACACAGGAGTCCGTTCTCGCCTTTCACCATGTAGGTAGGTTCTGTGTATCAAATTTAGGTCAAAAGGCTGGGCAGCAAGTGTGTTTACTCACTAAGCCATCTCACCAATGCCTGTTTGTTTTGAGACAGGGTCTCATGTATGTAGTTCAGGTTGGCCTTAAACTCCTATGTAGCTGAGGCAGGCCTTGAACTCCTGATCTTCCTAAATCCTAAATCTACAGAGGAATGCTCTTATTACAGGCATGTGCCACCACACCCAACTGTATTATCTATTTAATGTTCACAGTTACTTCACTTTTCAGTCACAGAAACTAAAGCTTAAAGAAAAGGTAGGGTGGCTCACTCCTGTAATGTTTGTTAACGTTCAAGAGGCTGAGGTAAGGGGATTGCTGAGAGTTTGAAGTCAGCCTGGGCTATATAGTGAGTTCCATGCCAGCCTGAACTACAAGTATGAAAACCTGTCTCCAAAAAAAAAAAAAAAAAACATGGAAACACTTGGGCTTGATTCTCAGTGTAGCACATTAATAATAATAACAATAAGAAGAGAAAGAAGGAGGAGGAGGAAGAAGAAGTAAAAAGGAAGAGGAGACATTACTTTCTCAGGGTCCTATAAATGGTGAGTGGCAAAGCCCAAGATTCAAATCCAGGTTTCAGAACATCATGTCCCGACACACTGCAGGCTTCTCTAGTCCCATACTCCTAGATACCAACACTCACGGTTACAGCTCAGGCCCTGTTTGCCAAGGCCAATGCTCAACTCGCACAGGTTGCAGTAGACTGGTAGGGGGAACCTCTTGGGTCTCCACATGTGCTGCCCATCATCTTTCAGAGTCTAGGAGGGCATAGAGGATACCAGCTTCTTAGAGGGCCAATCTCTGGTGAATACAACCCAAGGCAGCTCCTTACCATTTTCGCAAACTCTCACACTCACCATTTCCATCCCCAGCAGCACTAGCAGTGGCACGGTGGTAGCCCCAGCCCGAACCCACTCAGCTAGGGAGACAGAGCCACTGCCATCATAGTCAATTTCTTTCATCATGTTCTGAAGAATCTGAGTGGAGAGTGGGAAGGGCCATCTGGTGGGAGAGGCCCCCAGACACCTCCACTGTCTGTTAGGATGCCCAGCACAGGCATTCAGTAGAAGTAACCAGGTACCCATCAGAGATGGGATAAGGTGGATGCAGGAGTATCGGGAAAGGGTGAATAAAGCAAAGGAAGAGCTGCCTTACCGGTCTCAGCTCAGACACATCCCAATCTAGATATTCAGCCATTCGCATCATCTGAAGGATGATTCTTTCCACTTCCTGAGGCAAAGGGGGTAAGCGCCAAAACCACATCCCTCTTACTACCACCCCACCCAAACTCTCCTCTACAAATCAGGGCTCCTGGATTCTATCCCCAAATCTACCTGTTTTCAAGTGACTTTGACAAGTAAGTAAATATGCTTGTATGTTTCATATCTGCAGCCTTCTCTTTTAGGGGGTCAAGCCTTGGGTACTGTTCTCAAATTTAGCCCTAAGGACTCTTTCCCTAGCTCCATTTTTACTGCCTCCTCATTCTCCTTTATCTGTGGGGGGAATGGTAGTGTTGAGGATCAAACCCAAGGTCTTATATAGTCTAGGTAAACACTATACCACTGAAGTATACCCCCAAATCTTTCCTCTGCTTCTTAATACCCTGGAAAAGTTGAGGCAGGGGAACATAGACAGACGGACACGTGCTCCCTTGCCCAACATACAGGTCCCACAACTCACTGAACTGTCCAGGATCCCATTTCTGTCTGTGTCATACAGCTTGAAGGTAACTGTGGAACATTTTAGAGGAGCCAGGGTCAATTTATGAGAGAAACCCAAAGAACTCATTCCAAGGCTAGGTGTGGTGATGCACACCTATAATCCCAGCACTTGGGAGGCAGAGGTAGGCAGATAGCTATGAGTTCAAAGCCATCCTGGTCTACATGAGGAGTTCCAGGCCATCCAGGACTACATGGTGACATTCTATCTCAAAAACTACAAAACAACAATAACAATAAAACCCTCCCAACACAAGAATTTATTTCAGAATACAGGGGAAATAGAGAAATGTTCCTAGAGTTTGGGATCAGACTGAGAGAACAAACAAAAAAGAAAGGCATAGTAATGCTCATCTGTAATCCCAGCCCTCCCTCAGGAAGCTGAGGCAGAGTCTGAGACCAGCATGGGCTACATTGTGAGATCCTGTCACATTCAAATAAACAAAACAAAAAGGAGAACAGGTAATGCATGCCAGCCTTAGTAAATATCACAGAAACGGCACACATTCCCATGTACCACGCACATCCTAGGCCACCTACATGGCAACGTATAAGACATGGAAACTAGAGTGACCATGAGGGACAGCACTAGGTGTGAGTAGCCTAGAACAGAGGAAATGGGCCCATTGTCTGGCCCTACCTTTGTCAGCCTTTAGAAATCCCAAAGGAATGAGACAAAGGTCTGGAGAATACTTCTCTAACCCTCCACCTTCCCACCCCTTTTCTAGTCCAGAATGGCAAACTCACATGCTAGCTTATCTTCTGGCCGGCCTCCCTCCAGGAGGGAGAAGTAGCAGGAGACATCACTGAGGCATACCACCTTGGCTACAAAGTAGAAGCAGGGCAGATCAGATGAGGGCTCCCTCGACTCTGGCAGTCTTGACTCTATTGCTCATTTCAACTCTTGCCTTTCACTTTCCTTTCACTAGCTCCTAGTCCAGTGAGACCATCCTCCACTTCTCTCTTGTGACCTGCACAGCATCTGACAGCTTTGTCATCCCTAAGCCCACACTACTTTGACTTTTCTTCCACATCACCAGCCCAGCCCTATCTGCTTCATCATACCTTTTATCTCGGTCTCATTCAAGCATTGACCAGTGTGAAAGGATTGAAACAGTGCCAGGCACAGGCGATGGGGAACTTGGTCTACTTCCAGATAGATTTTCAGGAACTGTTCAAATCCCTGGTACCCAATGGCCTATGACAAAAGTGAATATTACCCTGGGGAGTCTGCAGGATAGAATCTGGGGACTGAGGAACTGGGGCATGGTGGAGACAGACATTATAAATGCAGCACTGACAGGTGTCTGAGGCAGAAGTACAATTCTTGGGCCAAGTCCTGAGTTAATAGGATCCTCTTGTTTTATCCTAAAGCAATAGCAATTGACAATGGAGTATTAAAGGGAGACATTAAGCAGTGGAAGAAAAATCTCTGGAAGTTGGGGATCCCAGGAGAGCAGCAAAAACAAAGATGAGAGGCGGTCAAGGAGAGGATTCCCTAGCTGCCACTCACATCTCCTTGGATATATTTGCTCATCTCCCCATCCTCGAAGAGCTTTAGGACATCACTGACTTTTTGGGTGGTGTCTAGGTGAGAAGAGAGAAACACAAGAACATTAGGCCAGCTTAGCTTGCCTAGCTTTCTGTCAAAGTGCCACATGGATATCTAGCAGGAAAAAAAAGCTTTGAATTTGAGGAGAAAGAAATTGCAAGAAAAGGAAAAATATTTCAGATTGTCCAAAGTGGTAGCCCTGTTTTCTCCTTCAAGGCCTGGGGCAAGCAGTCAAGGTGTAGGGATGGTGGGTAGAGAGCTGTGACTTGAGGCAGCGCCTCATCTTCTCTCCCTTTCTCAGTCAGCGAATGAACTAGCTCATAATCACTGGGAAACTGGGGTGGCATGGGAGATGGATGAGAAGGCCAAGTCTTCAGACTGAAGGGCTGGAAGGAAGACTCACATTCCATGTACTTTTGCAGCTGGGCAAAGTCTTCGGGGCTTATCAGGCCTCTCTCTTTGGCCATCCTTCTTTTCCTAAAGTTGGCCACAAAGATAGCCCGGTAGACCAGCTTCCTGCGCTGCTGCTTCAGAGGGTAAGCCTGGAGCAAGATGACAAGAGCCTTCATGGAGAAGACCAGTTGTCTACACCTCCTCAATCTCTACTCCCATGAGTATTTCTGTGCTCCTTTATCTCTGAGCCCGGCTCTAAACTCTCTTCCATTCCCTGTGTCCTCTCCTGTGTCCCTAACTCTCCCTGATAAGGCCTGTCCTCCATCTTCATTTCCTTGACTCATCTCTCACATCTTCATTTCTGGATCTTTCTCCTACTCTGACTTCTCACCGATCCCCCACCCCTATCTGCCTGGATTCCTCTGACCATCGCCTCACCGTATTCCCCTCTCCCACCAGCTTCCTAGTCTGAGTTTGCTAGGGGCCCTTTTCAGTCCCCGCCCCACCCCTTCAGGCACTCAGGCCTCTTTCCATTTCCTCCCACCCTCCAAGTTCTTACCAGTTTGGGGACGGATTTGGGGGCCCCGCTTTGCCTCACTGGGCAAGACCCCATCCCCATCTTGCTCCGCCTCAGAACCACCACTCCCTGAGCCACTCAAGCTCTACCCGTCCCCCCCCCCCAACGACCTCTAGCGCCTTTGACACGTGACACAGAACTAGGGGACCATAGCCCTCTTGGCCCTGGAAGAGCTCTATTAGGGAAGGGCGAGGACTGGGCTCCAGGGATTGGAGGAGGCAGGAGAGGAAGGTTCCAGCTTCCTGGGCACAGGACTGTGGAGCTTCATGTTGCAGGCTTGGACACAATGCTTGGGTCTTCTACCGCACTGGGTTTACCACTGTTTACGGAACTCCACCTTTTGGTACTGGACCCAGAAACCTGACTATGGTCCTGGCCTATCCTAAAGTGGAGTAGTAAGAGGATCTCTCTCTCTCTCTCTCTCTCTTCTCTCTCTCTCTCTCTCTCTCTCTCTCTCTCTCTCTCTCTCTCTTCTCTCTTTTTTTTACAAAAAACCTATCATCTGCCTATTTTTGCCAGGGTTTCCCTACTATGTGGCCCCGGCTAGCCTAGAACATGCTATATAGACAAAGCTGCAGTGAACTTCCATCAATTTGCCTGCATTGCCAAGTGTGCTGGGATTACAGGCATGAGCCACCAGTCTAGGATAAATTATTGTTAATTTTTTTCTTTGCAGCACTAAGAATCAAACCTAGGGCCCTGGTCTCCTAGACAAATGTTCTAACATTTACACCCCAGCCCACCTTGGTTATTTAATAACAGCAATAACAATAACTAAATTTTTTTTTGTCTTTTTGAGACAGGGTCTCCCTGTAGCCCCAGATGGCCTGGAACTCACTATGTAGAACAGGCTGGCCTTGAACTCACCTGCCTCTGCCTCCTGAGTGCTGGGATTAAAGGTGTGCACCACCAAGCCTGGCTCTTAATTACATATCTTACAGTAGTAAACAGTACCTAACTATTTAGAAAGGAGTTAGAACTAGTCAAACCTAGCTGGGTTCTGTTAGTTGTGACAGACCTGTGGCTTGGACAAATTATATCTATAAAACAGGGAGAGCAATACCTATCATATACAGTTGGGAGGTTAAATAACAATATATGAAAAATGCCATAAATAATGCCTGGTATGTAGAAAGTCCACAAGAAATGGTAATTATAACTGTATTAATAATTAAACCTTAACATTTTTAAATGAAAAAAAAGAAGCTTTAAGAAAAAATGAAAAATAAAAAAAATAAAAATAAAAACAAGCTGGATGTGGTACACGCCTTTGATCCCAGCACTCGGGAGGCAGAGACAGGAGGATCTCTGTGACTTCAAGGTCTACAAAGCAAGTTCCAGGCCAACTGGGAGACCCTGTCTCAAAAAGACCAAAAAAAAAAAAAAATCAAAACAAGGAGCTGGAGAGATGGCTTGGCAGTTAAGAGTACTTGCAGAGGACCAAGATTTAATTCCCAGCACACACAGTGGCTAACTGTCTGTAACTCCAGTTCCAGAGGACTCTGACACCCCCTTTTGACCTCTGCAAGCATTGCACAACATGGGTGCACTTATGTACATTCAGGCAATACATTCATAAAATAAAAATAAATACTTTAGCCGGGCGTGGTGGTGCACTCCTTTAATTCCAGCACTCTGGAGGCAGAGGCAGGCGGATCCCTGTGAGTTCAAGGCCAGCCTGGTCTACATAGTGAGTTCCAGGACAGCTGGGGCTACAGGGAGACCCTGCTTCAGAAAGACAAAAAAATAATAATAAATAAAAAAAAATAAAAAAAACAAAACCAAGGCTGAAGAGATAGCTCAGCAGTTAAGAGCACTGGCTGTTCTTGCAAGAGACTGGGGTTCAAATCCCAGCACCCACACAGTGGCTAACAACTGTCCATAACTCCAGTTCCAGGGGAATCCGATGCCTTCTTCTGAGCTCTGCAGGGACTGCACAACATGGGTGCACTTACACAGATGCGGGCATAACACTCAGAGGACTGAAGAGGGCATTTCACAACTCGGGTATGCTTACATACATGCAGGCAATATACTCATATACTTAAAAATAATAAATGTTTTTTAAAAATATTTTATTTATTATTTCAGCCAGGCGTGGTGGCGCACTCCTGTAGTCCCAGCACTTGGGAGGCAGAGGCAGGCGGATCTCTGTGAGTTCAAAGCCAGCCTGGTCTA